CTATATTCACCGATAATGAAGAAAAGGAACCCATTAGAAACAAAATTAAACTGTACAAACCGCCACCAATTTTCCTAAGAGAAAAAAGTTCAAATGAATTAGTTAAGGTTTTAACTACCATATTAGAAAAATACAGCTTTTATGTTGCCCCTTCAAAATAAGGGAATATTTATGAAACTAAAATACAGGGTCTACTGAAGATGAATACAGAAAACTAGTATCTGCCTTGGAAAAAGAAAATAAATAATTCTATTCATATAAGCTAAAAAGCAACAAAGATCTGTCAGTGATCATCAAAGGTATTGAGCCAGGTCTAGATAAAGGGGAAATTCAATCAGCTTTAGAGAAAAAAAATTGCATGGTCAAAAGTATTTATAATATCATAAATAGAGAACGTATCCCACAACCGCTATATAAAGTTGAGTTAAATTATGCCGAAAGCAAGCTTAAAAAAGGTGAAGTTCATCCGTATTCTTTACAATATCTACTTCACAGTAAAATTTTCGTTAAGCAGCCATATAAGCGAAAAGAACCAGTACAATGCCTGAATTGTAACGAGTATCGTCACACTAAGACCTATTGCAAACTCAACAGTGAATGTGTTATTTGTTCAGATTTGCACTCCACGAAAAGTTGTCCAAAAAGCAAAAGGCAAATATTTTTCAATAAATAAAAAGTTGTCAACGAAGAGGTGGTGTGTGTTGATTTGATTTTCTTGGGTCTAAGAATATCTGGTCTGGAGCTGGATTTGTCAGCTCTGATAATTGTACTATGTGAAAGATTGAAGCCAATCGTCATGCAACTGATTAGACCCTATCAGAGCTGACAAATCCAGCTCCAGACCAGATATTCTTAGACCCAAGAAAATCAAATCAACATACACCATCTCTTTGTTGACAACTTTTTATTTATTGAAAAATATTTGCCTTTTGCGATATTTAAAAAACTGATTCCGCGATATTTGGTGCAGTTTGCAGGAATACCTTTTTTGTGGATTGGACAAAGCACACTTAAATTCCAATCGTTGGGCATGCATTCAAACGACCGTATATTGCGAATCAGCTATGGCATTTTAGTAGTGGGACGATTATTTCATCGTCAAGGAGTGCAAATTCGGGATCATCTTCGTTTTTATTCGCATCACTACTACCGCCATTTAGTAGGTTCAAGAAGCGATCCTTCCAAATTTTAAGCATGATTTGGACATCTATCACCAAATTACCATTTCGATCTTTGCAGAAATTAACTCCGGGTGTATAACCATTTGTCAGACTTTTGATTTTTTGGTCAGACTTTTCATTTTCAGTCGTCCAGTTTCTTAAGCTCTTTGTACTCATGTCTCTCTGCTTCTTTCTTTCTTCTTTCTTTGAAAAGACGTTTCTCTTCCGTTCTCTTTAATATCACGAGTTGAAACTGACTGCAGGGTGGCTTTCTCTGCGGTAGCATCACGACGCTCTTAGCCGTATCAGCTGTTTCTTTGTCTAAGGTGATAACCAATCACCTCTTTTACAGCGGTTTCTTCAGATTCATTTTCCAAATACTGAGAGAGTCAAGTAGCGAAGTCATTAGCTGTCTGTTGTGATTGCACCTTTTTGACGTCCAGCTTTTGCTGTACTTGTTCACGTACCTTTTTCATCGGACATTATCGTGTTGAGATCTTGGCTACAACAAGATAATGATCCTAGTCAATATTGTCTCCGCGGATAGTACGTACATCCAAGACACTGGAAGCATGCTTTTCGTCTTTGAGATCTTGTGTTTTGTTTGATAATGGAAGAAGGCTGACAGGTGACAACCATGTTGTCTTCATAGAAAGTTTCCTTGATATCTTTATCTTTATCATCCATAGGGGCATGCGCACAAATTAGACTGATGTAGAAAAATTTTGCCTTAATACGGATTTTGGCAAGCTTTTCGTTTATTGGTGCAACTGTTGAGGCCAAATATCTCAACCTTCGGCTTACCGCAAATCCGACTCCGAATTCATGCTTTGTTGCATGGCAACTTTAGTAGATGTTTTCGTTTAGAGCATCCTGGTCCCCTACATCGCATTTTCTGGATGGCAGTAATTTCAGCCTTATATTTCTGTGTGTCCACTTGGAGAGAACAGTGACTAGGATCGCGCTGACATTTATCATGTTAAACGCAATCTGACACTTTCTAATCTATGTTCACAACCTCCTCTGCTAAACCCCCACCCCCCAACACGGGTTCTCTATTAGTTACACTTTGACAAGGTGTTTATGTTCGCATGGAAATATAAAATATTTTCGAATTTTATTTGCGATTACAATTTATTTTTTTATTAGGGGTATTCACTCTCTCTTGTAAACTTATTGCAAGGAGCACGAAATGCAAGAATGCTATAAAAAAAACTGCAAGACTGCGAGAACACCTCTGTTGCAGAATTGCATCATCAAAATGAATCAGCTGTTTTTGCAGCCATATCACATTGAGCAAAGAAAAATAAAAGTATAACAATGACGCGAACAAGTGAAATACAAAAATGTATAAATTTTTTAATTGAAAATATTGCTTTTAATATTCTGATTGAGGGTATTAACATGTAGTTAATGTAGTTTTCACTGCTGTATAGTTTCTATTTGTTAGATGATGCAAATTACTGGGATGTGATGGAGCAATTAAATGAAGACCTTTTGTTTACGTTAGTAAACCATCACGGAAGTCACTAACCCGTACCAAAATTTATTCAATGGAGTTCTACCATTCTTCAAGAATTTGATGAAGACCTTTTTCGTCAGATGCTTAGAGTAAATTGAAACGAATTTTCCTTAATACCCTTACTAATAAACACTAGTTTGGAGTTCATTAATTCACATTCAATTCAACGATTTCCGCTCGATCTCCAACTTGCCATTGTTTTATATCGTTTGGGTTCATCAGGCGAAAATGTGGCTATTCGTAAAGTCGCTACATTATGTGGTGTTGGATATGGGGAAACAATTTATAAGATAATCCGAAGAGTCCTTCGCTCCATATTGGATATATTGACGGTACTGAAATAAAACTTGCCAAAGCACCAATGGTTAACCATACATCCTATTTTTCAAAAAATAAAGTGTATTCAATAAAAGCACAAGTCGTATGTGACTATCAGCTGAAGATTCGACATGTCGCAGTTGGTCACTTTGGAAGTGCACATGATGCTCGCATGTTTCGTACAAGCGCTATCTGCATCCAAGAAAATTCCTTATTTTCTTCAGAACAATGGTTAGTAGGCGATTCTGCTTATCCATTACTTAAAACTCTTATAACTCCGTTTCTGTCAAACTCCCAACAGCTTGACTACTCTAAACGTAAAACTTTTAACTTACACCATAGCAGATTTCGTGTAACGATTGAACATTGTTTTGGACTTCTGAAGGAACGCTTCGGTAGTCTTAAGAAGTTAAGAATCCGTATTCAGAAAGATACGAGTCATAATTTTTGTATTGGTTCATTGTTTGTTGCATATTGCACAACATTTTGCGACCTTCATGTGATGATACGGAACACGTGGATTACGTACATGACAACGACGAAGAATCTGATGAGCTCAAGCGGAATGAAGCTAGTCAGAGAACCAATGAAGGAGCTTCGAAGCGCAAATTTTTGTATAATTTAATGTTCGGCAATCAATAATTTACGAATACAAATATATAAAAGAAGAAGTCAATTGCGACATTACTTTTTTCCAGTAGGTTTATTTCAAAACAAGAATAATGTATAAAAACGTATAAAAACGTATTTATATATTAATATATGCAATAATAATATAATATAAAAATAATTAGTATAATAAAAATATAACTAATTCTTAATTTGTTGTTGTTATTTGTTATATTTTCTATCGAGGGGGGTAGTGGGGCTTTGCACAGCAGAACGCACGACTTTCGGTGCAGAGCTGGATGATGTATTGTCTGCAGACGATTCAAGAAAATAAACTTTGTCGCCTAGCGCAGAACTAGCTGGTGGCTGTGGCAATGTGTCCGTACATATCAAAAGCACCTGAAAATTAGACATGCGTCCAAAAACTTCATTCAATAGTTCAAAATGTGGACAAATTTTTGTAAGTTTCGCTGAAATTGATAAATAGATAAATTAATTCACAAATGTATATGTATATAATATTATATTTGTGAAAACTTAATTAATGGCCACATCGTTTTAAATCATTGAACGAAACGCATGTATATAGCATAGCCATAGTGTTGGCAACTCTGCCAAGGATGACAGATAACATATAAAGAAGAATTAACATTTTAATTTTGTCAGTTATTTTGAACTTGTGAAATAATAATAACTAGGAGATTTTTGTATAAATAAATATCGAAATTATACAGATATAACACATAGATTAACATATTTCGAAATTTTACTAGCCGTCAATTCAAATTTAAAAATGAGAAGCAACAAATGTCAAAACAGCTGATTTCTGTCATTTCTGTTTCGTTGCAAGCAAATATACATAAGTTTTAGTATTGGAAGAATGCAAGCAATTGCACGAAATTTTGTGCGTGTATTTTGTTGTTGTTATTTGCATTCTCATACAATCTGTGCATTTCGTGCACCTTGCAATGAGTTTGCAAGAGAGAGTGAGTACCTCTATAGGTTTTAGTATTGGAAGATTGCACGCAATTGCACGAAATTTTGTGCTTGTATTTTGTTGTTGTTATTTGCATTTTCGTACAATCTGTGCATTTCGTGCACCTTGAAATGAGTTTGCAAGAGAAAGTGAATACCCCTGTTGATAAAGTTAAAGTGCAATCAAAAATTTTGCCAATGTTTAGCCAAATGATTATTATAAATAAAATATAAAATATAATTGAAAATGTAATATGCAATTATTATTAATATAATTATAATTATTTAAATAATTATAAAATTTTAAATATTATATTCAATTCGAATATATTTTTTATCTACATATTTCAATTATAATATGCTACAGCACCACACATTTTTGAACATTTTACAACACTAATATTATTCGCAAGAAAATCAAAAAACTTGGAACACCTATTTGTGTGTTGCCGGAGGAACCAAAGTTATTGTAAACAAAACAAGTCAAGCCATAACGAACTCATCAGTAAAGACACCATGGCTAGCAAGGACGATCGTATGAAAGGGTATGTTCTAGTTATATAAGAATAATTTAATAATATAATGTAATGAATATAATTTAACTTTTATAAACAGAAAACGTAAAAATCTTAAAAAGTATGACAGAAGAGGAGCACATGAACAGTCATCATCCAGTTCACAATCAAAACACGACACCCGTGGCATTATAGATATAGCGGATTCCAGTGATCTCGATGTAATTGTACCAAAAGCTGGACGACAAAAGCCAATGGACTATCCACCCGATATTGATGACGACAATGAGGGAAATAGGCAATTACAGGCAGCAGACTTCAAACAACTATCCGAATTGCCTATATCAATTGGTGGACATTTTCAGTTTTCGTCTGAAAAAAATTGGGACACAGACAATGATGATCTTTTTGATAATACAGAGGTTAGCGAATATTTTACATTGAGTCTAAAGGTTTTGAATTCAGGGTTGAAAACCATACCGTTTTATAAACGCATGGATTATGCATCAGGGTTTTTTACAAATAATCAAATTATTAATATGGAGAAATCCGCCGAAGATGCAGAAAAAGCATATCAGGATGTGCTTAAGCAATATTTATCGCAACCAAAAATTAAAAAAGGTAGTTCCGCAAAGTCCACCGCTACAAAAAAAGACCCACTAGCTGAAGCAATTGATGAAGGCCCTACTGATGAATTGGATGATTTGTTAAATATGACTGCTGCTCAAGTTAGTCAAGTGCAACTTGATGCTCCAAGTGTCGCAGCAACAACAGTTGATACAGCAATAAATAGTAACATAGAAGATGATCAAAAATGGCTCGACGATGTACTTGCGGAATAAATATGAAAACATTGATGTTAATCAAATTTCCACTATGCTTTTAAGTAAAAATTATGCGCTTGTAAAACGAAATAAATTAGTTTTCCATTTTTAATAAATACCAAGCTTATGTTTAACGAAATAACTAAAAGTTACTTTAGCATTTAAATTTAATTCTCTGTAATTTGTTTATATTTAAACATCGTTATTTGTCCTGAATAACTTTATTAAATCACATTTCTAAAGGTTCTTCACCACATCAGTATGTTAATTCATTCTAAGAATTCATTCTGAACAAGTTCAATTTAAGCTATAGAAAAACGATATTTTTCATGTTACGACAAGTTCCATCCGTATTAATCATGCAATTTCATTATATAATGGAAAACTCATTTAACGAATAAATTATTATGTTTATCAAATTATAAAGTGGGATGCAAGAAAGTGGGATCCGTATTATGTCAATAGAACATCCCCATAAAGCAATGTAACGAAAAAAAGCAAAGCTATTTAAACCTATTCCATTATAAAGTCCAACAAAATGCTAAAAAAGAATGTAGTTTAATTTTTTTTTCGTAAACTTTTAGCTAGAAACCATATATTGTAACATTAGTAAATAAATTTTTAGTTGAAAAGGTAAATTGTGGTCTTATGAAGGTGGCTAGCATACATGTATCTGATGTTCAGTAAAAAACTTGAAATAGTTTTGCTAGAAAAAAATGTGTCATTCACGTTAGATGCTTGACTTATCAATAACCTTGACTACTTTTTAACTTAAATGATTTCGAGAGCGTTAATAAAATTAAATGAAGGCTATTTATGAAGTTATACCATTTACTGCGTTATAAAAACGATTATTGCATTTATGGCTAAAATAATAAAACCGAAACGAAAAATAAAGTGAAAAAATTTATTTTCTTATATTAATTATTGCACTTATGTATTTCTTCACATATTTCTAAGGTCTAACTTTTTGCCCCAGAAAAATGGGATGCCACCTGGCAAGAGGTATATCTCGTTTATATAAAATGCGCTCTTTGTATTCTGGCGACTTGTGAGGTATTAATGCATTATTATATCTAAAGAATTGTTTGTAGTAGCGAAGTAATGAACGGTGTCCAATAACAGCACCAGATGGCAGTACAAGTTCGTATACAAAGCACCCATCCACATCATTTTCAAGCTCATAGCCCTTTTCTTCTAATTGGATCTGTAATTTTTTTTTTTTTTTAAATCTTCAATTATTTGATTTGTATTGAATAAATATATTTTACCTCTTCTCTGGCAGGCGCAAAATCGTAATAAATTTTATACTCAGAACATGCTATGTCTTCATCAAACATGTGACAATGTCCTTTATCCGTCATATGCTTTCGCACACTATCGGCTGAATGAAAGGTTTTTCTTTCATGGCACCAAAGACACATAAAGTCTTTAGTAACTTTTTCTTTCAAATAACCTATTAAACCCCGCACATCCCTGCAATTTGATGACTCAGGTATATAAAACGAATGTGCCACAAACATATGCTTAAGATTTTCTTCTAAGTCTGCACTGGTGTGCACGCAAAATATGCAAACACCATCTGCAAGCGTAAGAGACTGTAATTTTTCCTAAATGAAATTGGCATTTAAAACTTATATTACTTTTGTTTTAATGTTTTTTCAACTTACAGTCATATTATGCATACTTTCTTCATTCTGAGACACATCGAATGACTTATCAATGTTGTTATTAGCGTCATCATCTTTTTTTTCATATTTATTTTTAAGATTTTCTTTATGTTTTTTGCTGTTCAGATGATTATTAAATGCTTTTTGATTGGCAAATTGCTTTCGACATGAGGTGCAAAAGTGATTGATTTCACTCTCTTCTTGCACCTTTATGGCTTGTTGGAACAATACTCTGTTTTTGAAGTCTTCTGCAGTAACAGGTGCCAACTCACACACACGTCGCTTCAGGTTGAAGCAATGCCAATCTGTTTTATAATGATCTCGCTGAATTTCTGCTGTTGCGAACTTAACGCAGCATGTAATGCATGTATATGTGATAACCATAATTATGATTAATTCAAAACAAAACTACAACCAGAAACAAATGCAAGCGTATATCAAATGATATAACAAAACAAAGTGCGTACGAAATCGTAGATATGTTTTATGCTAGCAACAAAAATACAATTTCATAATGTTGCCTTATTATTATTTTCACAACAGGTGAGCACTGCCAACTTTAACTGATTTTAAGCATGGTTCACACTAATTTGCTTGTAGCTTTTCAAATTCAAAGCATCCCATGAAGCAATAGTATTTTATGTTCATCTATTAGCATTGATGTATTACAACAAATAGAAGTATTGCAATTAACTAAAATATGTTTAGCTGGCCATTTTGATTAATTGGAACTAACAAAACACCAAATATTTTAGTTCTGCTAACATTTTGTATATTTAACATAAATTGTTGCCAAAATATAATTTGTGGAAAAAAATAAAAAAATAAAAAAACAGAAATAATTGCCTCTGTACTTTCAGATTTGTAATAAATTAATTAAATTTATTTGAATTATATCAAACTAGGCAGTAGTTTGAAAGGCAGCAATTGCAAAAAAATATATTCGTTTGATGCAAAATGTAAAAAACTTCAAATTTTTGTTTACATGGCAAATATCAAAAACATCTTTTAGTATAATTGATATCCATTAATAATTTCGTTGAGTATTTTCAGTGTTTCAGGCTTACAAAATTTAAATTCAACCAAGCGTTTTAATAATAAAAATAGTATCTTCCCATCGCCTTCATTAAAGCAATATTTATAACATTAATTTATAAATTAATTAACTGCAGTGAGAACAGGGTACAAATCAAGAATTTTAATAAATCTAATAAAAAATAAGTACATGACTTTTATTGCATTTGGCATTCCAACTAATGTTATTCTTTCAATAGCATGTTGTTTAATATAGTAGCGAAAGCATTTTGTAGCCCGTGTACGAGTTCGAGTAAATTGATGGTAAATTGAAGGAAATAGTAAATTATGTCGGTATGATAGCAAATGTTGCAGTGCAAAAAATCTCTAGGAAATTTTAATTTATTTTAACTCAATTTACTCGAACTCACATACGGTCATAATTAAACATAACATAAGTATAATGTACATCGTTCTATTTAGTAGAATTTAGTTTATATAATAAGCCAATGGTCAATTTATCTTTGGATCTCATATATTAAAAATAGTGGCTGTTAGTATAAATAAATATATATATATTGCAACGATTTTAATATTTTTTTAATTTCAACTTGTGTCTACCTTTGCATATAAGCCAAAACAACAACAAAATAAATTTCTTCAAACTTCAAACTTATCTCTTATATGCAATAAATAAACAACTGTAAAAAATTTTGAAGTTGCAGTCAAAAAAAATTACTTAAAAAATTTTTAGTAAATCTGTAATTTTAAATTGTAGCCGCTGTACATAAAATGTCAACAGACATTTTTATAGTGACAGTTTGGTTCGTTTATCCGCTAAACAGAACGTGATTTGCTTTGTTTGGTATCAGACATATTTTAGTTTTACCTCTTATTGGTTGTGAAATTCCCATAGTAGTCATGAGCGCTTTTACTTGTTTGCATTGTGGTGCTAAATTTGCTTCAGCAGATTTACAACGCGACCATTATAAAACTGATTGGCACCGATATAATTTAAAAAGGCTTGTTGCGCAGTTGCCTCCGGTCACCGCTGAAGAGTTTCAAAAGCGTGTTTTAGACTTACGAAATGCAAAAGCTGAAGCGGAGGAAGAACGTCAAACAAATCTTTACTGTAATGCGTGCCGCAAGCAATTTACTAATCAAAATGCGCATGATAATCATTTAAACAGTAAAAAGCACAAGGAAGCGTTGGAACGTTACCAGAAGGAAAACCTGACTGATGAAACAAACGTTACTGTTAGGACTGCGATAACGCAACGACCTCACCCAGCAATAGCAAAAGCTTTAGAACAAAAGGTTAAATATGATACAGGCGATGTGCAGATGGATGATGAAGATGATGATGAGTATGAAGATGTGGAAGAAGAGGAAGTATGTTCTGCAATGTAGATAATAAAAATCATATTAATACGATTTAATTTCAGATTGACGATGAAGAGTGGGATGAAATACCAGAATGCCCAATTACAATTAATGATTGCTTATTCTGCACTCATACTAGTGAAAACGTTGTTGAAAATTTGAAGCATATGTCTGTAACACATTCTTTCTTTATTCCCGACACTGAATTCTGCATTGATATGGAAGGCTTACTTCAATACTTAGCTGAAAAAGTTGGCAATTTCTTTGTTTGTCTTTGGTGTAACGATAAAGGTAAAACATTTTATTCCCTTGATGCTGTGCGAAAACATATGGTAGATAAGGGGCATTGTCAAATGTTACACGAAGGCATAGCTTTGGCTGAATATGCTGATTACTATGATTACAGTTCTAGTTATCCTGATCATGTAAGTTTTAATCTTTTACATAATTCATAATAAATTTTAATAAAATTGTTATGTTATAGGAAGAGGGTATGGACATTGATGAAGAAGTTGTTCCAGATTTACTTGACGGTGACGAATATCAATTAGTCTTGCCATCTGGCGCAGTGATTGGCCATCGATCTCTACTTCGCTACTATAAACAACGTTTAAATCCTAATCGAGCTCTAGTACCGAAAAAAAGTGATCGTAAACTCCATAAAGTACTAAGTGAATATCGCGCACTAGGATGGTCATCGACGCAACAACAAGCAGCGGCACGCAAAGCACGTGACATACATCTGATGAAACGTGTACAAGCAAAGTGGCAAATGAAATTAGGCTGCAGAGCCAACAAATTACAGAAGCATTATCGACCACAAGTTCTATTCTAAGCCATTTTTTCTTTTAATATATATATACCGGGTTTTATAAAATAAACGCTTATTAACTGAAAGTATGTATTATATTACTGAAATAGACTGAATATATTGATGTTTTAATATTTTATTAAAATGTTATGCCAATATAAAACTTTTTGTTATGAAATGTAGTAAAAGTGTCGTGTTCTGCTGTTAGAGGATTTTAGTCAGCTAAATCATCTTGTTTACAGGATCTTAGTTCACAGTGCATACAAACAAATAAAAATATAAAACAACCGAGTAGTATGTTTAATTTCCCAATTACTAAAATATTCGAAGATATACCGGGTATGGTGAAGATGTGGTGAAGTTCGCAAAGTCGCAACGCTTGAGATGGTTAGGATACGTCATGAGAATGCCGGACGATAGACCACTAAAGCGAATACTCCATTTCACGCCGTATAATGACTGCAGCAGAGGTAGGCCACGTATAAGATAGCTCGATGATGCCGGGTATTTAAGAACTAATACTCATTTAATATATAATATAAAATAATGATCCTTGTATAATTAAGTGGTTTCCTTTAAGTTTTTGTTTTTGAAAGGGTCATACACTTAGAGATTAGATAAAATATTCTTGTTAAATCAAAACTGATAGTCATGATTTAATTCTAAATCAAAACTGTTGGTACTGGTTGACATTACAATTTGATAATCTAATTATTGATATCTAATAATTAATTGGTAATTAGGATTATCAATCCATTCGAACGATGGGAATAGCGAATTGGATTAATTTTGTCCCGGCTTATATTTTGAAAATAGATTTGCATCCCTACTGGGGATTGTGAGGCTGGGCTGATTGCAACGCAAGGGAAGATAACAATTTTCACTGACAGGTCAAAGAAAGATAAAGGGCCGGAATTAATTCCGCGGGCCTTGGAATTAATTAATCCGTGAATAACAGTTTTCAGTGACAGGTCAAAGATAGATAAAGGGCCGGAATTAATTCCATGGACCTTGAAATTAAATAATCCTACCACATTTGTGACTCTAATTCAATATTTCAGATGAAAATTTTCGCTATACGAAAAGGAAATCTATATTCTCACTGATAGTCAAGCAGCTATTAAAGCTATTTCAGCAGGCAGTATTTTGTCTAAAATAGTTGAACAATGTATACGATGTATTAACACACTGTGCGCAAAAGCTCCAAGGTAACTCGAATAGCAGGCAACGAGCGCGCAAATGAGCTAGCTAGAGTTGGTTCCTCGTCTGTTTCGTTCGATATTTGCCATATTGATGAATCTATAGAACACGTTTCAATGCAGAACAAATTTGATATTTTAACAACAATCGATGCTATTAATATCGGTAACGAAATTTGTTTCAAAGCGCTGATTAAAAATTTTATACAGATCTTTTCAAGTACTACTTGCAATGCAGTACTTATTTATAGTACTTATTTAGAATTAAAATACTTCGGAAAGGTGAAAACGGCGACTTATAACTTTTCGAACTATTTGGAAAATTCCTTTGTATAAAATCTAATTCTCTAGACTTCATTAACGATATAAAATAAACATTCCTAATACATTTTTCAATATAATTTTAGAAAAAAAATAATCCAATCAGAAAAATGCTCATAGTTCCCACATCTGCTACAAAAAGATTCTTAAACCTAGAATTTAACAGAGCCCAATTGAGAAGGACCACAAGCGATTAAAGCTAAAATTTTCGTTTATTTAAATTTCTGTTTGTGTAATTTCAATAGCAATTGTTATTATATTCAATTATGCTTTAAACGTATTCATCTCTTCTAACGTTTTCCCTCTAATTCTGGGAAATAGGGCTTGATATTACCAACTTAAACGGTTTATCTAGCACCGCCACTGATGTATAAGCAACGATTTCATCCATATTTATTGACTCTGGTATTATGTGAACATTCAAAATGTCCCACCGTCACAATAATAGTATGTGATATGTGATTTTATATTCTAACGTCGATTTAAGTATGTAGGTACTTTTTTCTCTTGTTTTTCTAGGTTTTATTGAATAATTTTTAAGCATATTCTTATTGTTTTGTAACATAATTTAGGCATTTATTAGGCAATATCTTTATTACAAATAAAAATTTTATATCTTTTTTCTTAATTTTTTTTGTTTAATAAACGTAATGTAAAAATACCTTACATATTAAATAAATTAAAAATTAAAATTTTGCTATTGTTCGTTTTTAAATATTGTTTGTTGTTGCATTATGACTTAATTACATATATTTAAATATTATGAATTTAAATATTAACTATTTGATTTTATTTTTGACAACATATTGTGGTTTAAATTAATTTAAATTATTCTTTTATATTTAACACATAAAAATATTTGCTTAAACTACATAAATTAAACTAGTTACAAATTATAAAATATTAATTCTTGAGACAGTTCGGATGCGAGTAAAATTAAAACGGAATTTTTTTAACAAATTGGACGGATATGAAAATAAAAAACAAAATCAAACTCAATTATAACCACTTACACATCTGTAATTGCAAAAAATAATTAATTTAAATTTAATTTCGTGCATTAAATTTTATAACGCCCAGAGATAATATATATATATATTATATATTATAAATATATATATTATTATTGTGTCATATAGCCACATAGCCAGGAGAGTAGCTCGCGGGGCTAAAGAACACCCAGAATATACCTGATAAACTGAATGCACTTATACACATCGATATCCATTGTCTACAGTGAAAATCGATTATGCGTGGAAAATTGATACATCGACTATGATTTTGAAATTGTTAAAGCAAAGTGATGGAACTTATTTTCCGATAATGAAATACTTTCTTACGATTTTGTTGACAGATCATTTTATTTCATGAAAAAGAATAAAATCTCTACCAAAAAAATGTAATTACCCACGGGATACTCATTGCTCTTACTATAATTTCCCATCAATGAGATATTCCAATTGATCCAGATGGAGATACCGACCTTTTATCGAAAAGGGATAAAAAGGATTTCATACCTCCAAAGGGATTTTACAAACAGATTCCTATGAGGTACAACAAGCATTGTAAGCTTTAGACAAAAAATTTACAAAATTAATATGTCCTCAATAAGATCTTCAGAAATGTCTCAATACCATTAATCTGGTATTGACGAATCTGAACGCATTTATCTTAAAGTTTCTACACTTTATTTGGTTGATGAAAGCAAAGATACATAATACGCAAGTCTGCAATAAATCTGAAGCGAAAAAGTAATACGCCAATGACTTTCTGTAGATCTTTGCGCTCAATTTAAGAACAGTACAGGTACTAACAACCTAAATACATCAAAACATTCAAGTTAAAATAAATAAATTAAATAACTACATTTAAATTTATAACGATTCCATAAAATTATCAATCATGCCGCCCCACAGGTAATTTTGTGGGGTCATTTTAATTTTTTGCAATGTGTTTTCATGATGTCTAGCGATTACAAGAAATTTGATAAATAGGACATTTATAGATAAATTGGATCTGTTTGTACTTGTATTTTAAGGGAATATTTACGTCATCAAGAATTAATTCTTAAAATCCTTAAAAATAAAAACGTACTTAACATTTCGTTTTAGAAATATTTTTAAAATTTCATTGTTACATGCATTAAATTAATTAATAATTAAATTTATTATAATTAATAGTGTGACCGACATGTGAGAAGTTAGGAATATATACATGCATATATAAGGCTATATAGGAAGTAGCTGTTATGTGGTTGGTTAAAAATATTTACGTATATAATACATATTAGTTTTGAATGTATGCATGTTCAAAGGACTGTTTCAGAAAAACAGTGTTACAGTGTTGAAATTTTATGATATATTAATACGCTCTTAAATCTAGTGAATTACGACAGGACTCTGCTGAACACAAACACCAACCATAGGTGAAGAGGAGTCTCCGCCACCATTATTTCCAGCCGCACCATTACCGGGCCCTCCTACATTACCACCGCCACCAAGAACACGTGAAGCGCTTTCGCCACGCCTTTGTTGATGCTGCAGCAATGCAGTTGGTGGCGGGGGCATATCTACAGCACCTATACCGATACCGTGCGTTGACTGAGGTCCTGACATTGCGAAACTGTGTGGCTGTTGTTGATGTTGATAAAGTAATGAGGAGTACGAAGAGGGACCAGATAAGCTACCTGTTGATGCTGTTATTACACTTGAGTCAGTCATCATTAAGTGAGATGCTGCCGCTGACAATGGATGATTGACTAAATCAAGTGGTAAAGAAGCAGGAGCATAATTGTGATGCTGCATTTGTTGCGCTGTATTAGGTGTTCCATGTTGCCCAATTAATGATAATTGGGAATTTTTTTGTGGCGTATTAAATATATGATGCGACGACCGCATCCGACTGGAGCCATTACTACCAACTCCAGCATTATTATTCGAGGAAGATAGTGAAGATGATGTATTTGAAACGCCTCCTATTGAATTACTAGTTATGAAACGAGGTTGTGGCATTTGTGAGGCTGGCGGATCACAATCCATAGCATGCGGATAATTATTATTACTATTGCAATGATTGACTGTTGCTCCACTACTATTTCCACCAATATTCGCTGATGGTGAGAGAAGAGCTTGTAATCCTTGTTGCGCTGCCATTAACGCTGCGGCTTGTTGTTGTTGTTGTACCTCATACATTGACTTTAGCATAGGATGATCATAACCCATTTTTGAAGAGCCACGTATAGCACTACGACTATGCATCAGATTGGTTAATGGTATTTGCTGCAGGGAACTCATACTATTGCCTAAGCTATTTAAACTGTTAGGTTGCTGATTATTAAGCGCAGATATATTTGAGGCTGATGAGGAGGATGAAGATGAATGCACATTCGGATGCAACAGTAGACCTGTAAAAAGTAAAATAATTTTAATATATTAAAAAATCTTCAATATTGAAAAATTTTAATTACATAATAACTCTCATAAAAATCTTGGTAAATAACACTTGGTACCATTTTAATAATTTTTTTTGAAAGCGGTGTATAGTATTTAACATAGGCCTATTTGCTTTATCGATCAATAACATTAATTTAATCCAAAACTAAATAACAATACTAAAAATTTAATATTTCACTAATTAACATTTTTAAATTATAATTGAAAGCAATAACTGCAAATATATACTTCACTTCTTCTTTTGAGATAGATAAATTATTTAATTAAATGGTTATTAGACTATTAATTCAAATGATAAAATTATATATAACGTCAGCTGATGTGTAATAGTTTATATCAGTATTTCTCAAACAGTGAACGAATATAAACTGCACAGTACCAAACGTAGTATACTGTTTTGTATACAACACTCGAAGTGTACACTAAGGAAAAAGTACATTACCATCTTTACAGACACTAACAATTTTACTACATTCGGGAAAATATTATTTTAAGAATAACTAGGTTAGTGAAAAAAATACTAACGAGAACACTAAAAATTTTGTATAAGACGTCAGGAACACTACATTACTTTAGTGTTTCGGATATGTTTTTTTTTTCATTTGTAGTGTACTATTAAGTACACTGGATACTGTTGTGTACTTCTGATATACATTATGTACACAATGATATTTATTGTGAACTGGAAAAGATTTCAATGTGTTTTTACAAATATGTAACGTGTTTTTCAATAATCGGTAACAATATGTATTTCGCAAAAACCTAATATTCTTAAAGACAAAAATACATTATTTTATGGTGCTATCAGCACGTATCGGTAAAGTGAAACACTGATTTATATGAACTGTTTTATTAAAAGGATTTTAAAAAAACGAATTCTATCAATTCTTCATTTACTAAAGAAATCATTGATCACTTAGAGCTAGTTTTAGTTTAATTCAGTCACGAAACTCCCGGTTATTTTGGACACTCTTCTGTTATTTTAGACACTTCATTGTGATGGAGTATCTAAAAAACTATTGTATTTTCGAAAATATTTTATTTTGAAAATAATAGAATTTAATTTATTTACTTAACAGTTAGGATCTCCTAACTAAATCCTAACTAAAGGTCATGACTATTCGGACCTTTATACTAGAAAAGGGAACAGTTAAGAGAAAATGTATGTAGTGAGATATTTTCAAGGATTAGAAGTGATTAAGACTACGTTAAGGTCGTGAAGTATTATTAACCCCCTGTAAATTAAGCTCAAATATAAATGTTACTCTAATTTAAGTTTCTTATATTTAAAATTATAGGAACGGAACACTTGTTTTGGTTGATTATATCATAAATTTTTTATTAGAATTTTGCAATTTTTTTAATATTTTGTATAATTTTATATTCTGTTACTTCTTTGCTGCCGTAACTTAAACTTGTAATAATGTGAGTGTATCATAATATTATTAATATTATTTGTAGTAAAGTAATTAATAATAAATATTGTTTATACTGTTTGTATTTTATATATATTTTCAGTATCAATGTATATATTTTCATAGAGCTTCTTTGCTGTCTTTTCATGTTAGGCCTATCCTGTGTAAAAAACTTCACAATAAATGTAAAAATATTAAAAAAAGAAAACCTATTTTATAATTATAAATATATAATTATAAATTTTATACTTTTCATTACCAGTGTATATATTTTTTTGTAACTTTCTTATGCATTCAATTTAATTAAAAGGGAGGTTTTTTAAATATATATATTATGAAACTAATTCTTGTTATTATTATGCATTATTTATGAGATATTTAAATATATCAACTTTGAATTTTATTTTTAATTGTTAGTTTATGTATATTTTTTACTATCATTATTATATTTAAATACTGTCTTCTTCTTAGTTCATTATTTATATTTGAATGCAATGTTTTTGATAGTTTTAAAATTATTTAACATATTTTTTACTGTAATTTTATGTACTAATTTGCTTTCGAAACTTTTGCTAACATTGCTTGAACTTACAGCATATACATAATATAATTACTTTCTTTTTACAATATAGTTTTTTATTTAATTTTGCGTACGAACGTTGCGATAATTAATTTCTTTTTAATATTGCACATAGTTTACTAATAATGACGTTAAACCAGAATTACAATAGAATAATCACAATTCTTAATAAAATTTAAAAATAAAAATATATTTTTCGCTGTGCTTATTTAGTTTACTCGTATATGAGTTTCTTAATTTAAAATCAAAATAATCAAATAATTTAGAAGTTCAATTGTTCAATGAAGGAATGATGTTGTATACATAAAATCATTTTTTTTACTTAACATGAATTAATAAAATTAACATATAATAATCATAATAAAGATTTTTCCATTAATAAATATTTTGATGGAATAATTTTAAATATATTTGAGTTGGTACGTTATTAATTGCCTAAATAAATTTACTGAAGAATTTGAATGTCCGACCAGGGCTTGAATGTTACCTTAACTATTTGAAGGAATCTTCTTTACATTGTTCCGATTTAAGAACATAGGACTATTAACAGTTTCGATGTGCACTTGTGCTTTTCTCGTCTCTTGTATAGATTATTTTATTAGTTCATTGCTATTGCCTCTTTCAAAGTGTAACGTCATTAATATATAAATATATATGCTTAGTAATATTTTTGCCAAAATTTTTAAAAAATAATATAATTTAAAATTTTGCAATATTTAAACATAATCATTGTAAAAATTTTTTATTTTATATTTTATACAACTCTTCATATTATTGAAGCTGTATCCCTCATTCTATTTTGAAGTGTAGAATATTCATTCATCTTTGTTAATTGTTTTTTGGTTTTTTTATTTATTTCACACTTTTTTCACATCTACAGTTGCTATTATCCCTTTCTATGTTGGTTTCTTTTAAATCGAATTTTCTGTTTATAAATATATAAATTAATTTTTTTTAAACGAACTTAAAAACTTTGCGAAAGAGATCTCTCTAGCCTATAACACTATTCTTAATACAATTATTTCTTACTTTATTTTTTATCATTTTTTATTTAATTAATTATGTTTAACTATGTTTCTGTTTAATATATATTTTAAATATTATTTTATGTTATTTCTGCAACTAAATAAATTAAATGAATGTATAGACTAAAAACTATAACTATTAACTTAAATATACTTATATATACTTATGCTAATATTTAAGAATATGTATATAATAAATGAGTTTTTCTTAAATATAAAGAACTGTAATTTTTTTAATATTTTTACATATTTCAATTCTTATTAAAAACTATGATTTGCTTTTATATTATTTACTATAAATTAATTTTAGTGGTTCTTCTATACTTTAACATTCCTTATCCTTATCCTTATCATAACTTTTACACTTTTTACAATATCTTTATAAGCTTAACTTAAAACTTAATTGCTAAAAATTACTGCCCTATATGCTCGCATTTCTATTTATATATAAATATATATATGCAATATATGAATATGCTGTTTACAACATAAATAATATTAATTATATATATGTATATAAGTGAAATTATCTGCAAGAAGTTCGCATACATTAATATATAAATATATAATAAATAAATTTAAATATCCATTAAGATATTTGCAAAATTGTTGTTGACCTTAAAATTTGTAACCTACTTTTAATTAATAAATCAAAATGTGTTTTTGTTCTAGTTAATGACAGTTTATAATAACTAACTATAAATGCAGTTTTTCGATCTTTGATGATATATATATATATATATATATAATAATTTCTTAATTAAAGTATACACAATGGAATATATCAAAATATGAATGAAATAAACAATCAATTCCATTCAATTAAAAAAATTCAAATAAATTGTAACATAAATATAATTAAATTATTTTAAATTGCAATTCGATTTAATTTTGCAATTAAATTTAATATATATAACAAATAAAAAATCATTTTACAATGATATGAAAATAGTAAACGAAATAGTAATAATAAAAAAGTAGAAAAACAATATTATAAAAAAAAAATTATAATAAAATAAAACAATAATAACATCATTATAGCAATAATATAAGTATAATAATGATAATTAAATAATGAAATGAAAATAATAGTAAAAAGAAAATAATTACAATTGCAGTATAAATTAAAACTAATAAAAAAAGAAAAATCGATATAAATCGAATATATATATATATCTTGTTTATCAATTAAACAATTAGAGTTTTTTTAGCTTAAACAATTAACAATAAATATAGGTATTTGAAAGTAATGAAGCATAAAAAAAATAATTATTCAAAAGTGATTTAAGATATAATCACTAAGAGTTTAAATAAATAAGCAGAAGAAAAAAGTACGTTTCTTAGAACTGCATACTGCATATTAAATAATGTATGTTAACCAAATAAAAGTAAAATATAATAATAAAAATAAAAATAAAAAAGAAAAAGAAAAAGAAAACTCCTCTATGAAACAGATGTACTTGTATTTATAAGAAAAAAGAAAAAGAAAATGATTAATTGGATAAACATTGCCATAGAGTGTCCAAAAAGTTTAATTTATTCATTTTTGAACATTTTATTTTTTTATATATATGATTTTTAGATTTAAATATAGGAAGTGTATATTTCTTAGTAAGATCAAACTTTATTAGCCAAAAGGTAAATAATTATATTTAATATCCAAAAATATTTTACATTTTATAGTTTATTTATTAAAATAATGTTTTTTTTTATTAGTATAGTTTTGCCAAGTGTATTTATTTAAATCACCTAAAATATGTTTTTATATAATTTTTGTCTATGAAATTTTATTTAATTTATAATATAATATTTAAATTGATAATTTCGATTACGACAATGTCAAACCAACTAATCTTTTAAAGTTGCCTTCATAATTTAGTTTCATTGTTTAATTTTTTTTTTGTTTTTTTTTTGCAATTATGTAAATATATATGTATACAATATATTCACATAATTATTTGTTAATTTAATTATATGTTAAATGGTAGGAAATTTTAGTAGTCACACATAATAACTCTTTTGTATAATTATTTAAATGTAATAGATTTATAAAACTAATTTAGTTGATGGCAGTCAATATAAGGTTCTAATAAATAGATTGAAAATATATATAAATAAAAATTAACTATACAGTTGTTACAAATAAAATGAGTTATAAATATGTTTTTACATTGTTTATTTGACTAATGGAACTTCTAAAACATGCACTCACAGTCCTACATTCAATATAACACATTCATAGTTCTCTCTCATTCAAACACCTTAGCTCTTCTTCTGACGCATATCTGTTAATTTACAATGAACATAGTTTGTTGTATTATTAATTGTTCCATGGAACGTAGTATATGTGGTATAATGTGTACATATTTCTATTTGAAGCATAAATTGTATGGTATATAGCGCTACATGATAAACTCTTGTCGCTTGCTATGATTTTAAAATAGGACAGTTATTATTGTTTTTAAACAAAATGGGTTTTGGTTTCAATTTGTCCTGTTGCCGTCGTTCCTGATACCGAACCTGAGGAAGCTGTAGATGATGATGACGTGAAGCTGCTCTGCTCCCGAGGCACTACCGGTCATCGTCGATCGTCTTTAGCAATGATTTGTCAAGTTTTAAATATTTTTATTATATATATATATATGTTAAAATTCATTTTGCATTTCATAACCATTTCGTGGTTTTGTTAGTGAATTTTTATTTACGATTTGTATAATGATTTAAAGTGTACACATGTTTGCATATATAAAAGAGAAGAAAATAAATGACGATATTTAGTTAGTAAGATTTCAGTAGTTTGGGTTTGGTAAAATTTTTCAAACTACAACAAAAACATAATAAAGTAAGTATACGTAACACTCAAAATGTACACTATTTTCTATATGGACTCATATACATTTATAAATAAAAAATAAAGAAATCAACAAATTTCTTTAAATTAAAATAACTTCATTTCATAAAACAAAATCAAACCAACAAAAATAATATATAATACATTTTAAGCAACTGAATAATTTCCACAAGAGAATCAATCCGAATATAATAAAAATATTCTATTTGTAAAAATTGTATACAAAAAATGGATACGTGAACGATCCTACTATTCCAAACATAAGTTAAAACAATATTTGAACTAAAATTAACATAAACGAGTTGTTTATATTTTAAGTATGCATTATTCAGACTTACCATGACTTTGTTGTTCTTGATGTTGCACCGCACTACTTGGTAACAGTTGCTGTTGGCCTTGACCAATGGCTGAAGACGACGTCGAACTAACCGACGGTGATGATATTGCTATGTTCGCTGCTGTGTTCGTACCCTCATCAGTAGTACGTTTGAAAAAATTATGTTGCAAGGCATAATAAGGTGTAACACGTGACTTCGGATCAAAATCCAACATTCTTAATATTAAATCTTTGAACTTTAAATAATCCGCCACAGAGTGACCGGGTTCACCCAGACGACGTCCCCCAGGGCCCCCCGTTTCTACACCAAGTATATCATGAAGTTTACGTGATCCTGGAGGTTTATATTTTCGACCGTTTTGACTTTTCTTTAATACATACGATCCATCCGAAACAATTATGTCAAAAAATTTACGCGTTTTATTTGATTGATCTAGTAAATACTTTGGCGGCATACCAAGCACTTCAACGATTTTATTCATTTGATCAACTTCATTACAACCAGAAAATAGTGGTTCACCAGTATGCATTTCAACTAGTATACAACCCAGTGACCACATATCAATTGCTAAATCATATGGTATGCCAAGGAGGACTTCGGGTGATCGATAAAAACGTGATTGAATATATTGATATATCTGAAAAAATAATAAAAAAATTTATAATATATATTTATATAGATATTTTGAATTGTTTTATTTACCCTTTGGCCCAGCTGACAAGAACTACCAAAATCCACAATTTTAATTGCTGATCTCTTCGGGTTACAAAGTAAAATATTTTCGGGCTTTAAATCACAGTGAATTATATTCAGTTCTGGTGTACTCAGGAAGAGTAAAGCAGTGCAAAGCTGTTGGGCAAATTTACGAGTTAAATTTAGGGACACACCACGAAAATTCGTATTCCGCAGCAGATCGTATAAATTATAGGAGAGCAGTTCAAACACTAAACATAAATGATTACGCCACATAAAATGCCGTTTTAGTTTTACTGAAACAATAAAGCACATATTAATATCATTATTACATCAAATGAAAACTATATTTACCGATATAGTATTTATTTTCAGCATCCGCGCGATTCATCATTTCCAGTAATTTAACTTCAATTTGTGCCTGATTTAGGAACGGTTTTTTATTTTTAATAATTTTTATCGCTACATGACATTGCTCTTCATGGTCATAGGCTTTAACCACCTGTCCGAAACTTCCCTTACCTAAAAAAATATTAAGTATTAGGTCTTTCAAAAAAAAAAAATGTGTTATCTAAAAAATATATTATAAAAACTTAAAAGTACATGTCAGTCACATATATTGAATATTTAAAAGAATTTCTTAGGTTAAACAATAAAATTTTAGTAATCTCGCGGTTTTTGCAACCCCTATTGGATGGGGCGAGCCGCATTCGATCATCCATTGGAATATGGAACTTTCCAAACTTTAATGGTCTTTACTTTAAAAAATCTATTTGTAATGAAAACCATTTCAAAAATGTCATAAAAACTTATAGACAAAGGTGAGATCTATTTTTAAAACTCTGTTTCTCCTTAGTAAGTGTAAATATTTTAAACAGAGTAATGTGTAATTAACGGTCTTGGAATCCGAAATTTTTTAATTCCGGTTCAATTTCAAAAATTTATTTTCGGCTTTTAACCCAGAAAAATTAAAGTTTCGGCTAAATATTTTTTATGTATTTTAAACTATTAAAAGGTTTTTTTTCATTGTTTTAAAAAACTTAATTTGTGTTATTATAGATAATAACTATTTTTGAATTCTTCATTCATTAAAGTATTAATAGCTTCATTAAAGTATTAATAAGAGGAATTAACGTACCGAATAGGTACCGAAATATACGGTGCCGGACTAATATACTATTTATTTTAATGTGAGATTTTTTTCAGTTTTCAGTTTAGTTTTAATTCTAAGCCCTAACATTTAATACTATATATGTAAGTATGTTAACAAATTTAATTAAGTTTAACGAATTTATAGATGAATTTGCATAAAAATACATACCTATTAAAGAATCTATTTCATATCTATCCAAGAATTTCTCTCCATTTTTAATAATATAATCATGATTATCGTCATCATAACCATCGTTATATAATTTACGTTCTTTTTTAGTTGAAGAATCCTCCTCATCTTGAGTCTGTTGAGCGCGTCGTTTCTTTTTCGCATAATAAACCTAAAAATCATATAAAATATTTTTATTATTAAATATTTAATATTTTTGCTTTCAAATTCAAAAATTCGTTTTTAGATATATTATATACCTATTTAAAGATATATAAAATTGTGTTCAATTTACAAGGTATGTTTCAAATAAACAGAACTTTTTATATAAGTTTAACGAATAATTTTTTTATCATAAAACCTTTCTTTTATACATAATAGGTCGAAATAGTTATTTTACTAAGTGCGGCTTGCATGTTCTAAAAACATATCGAGAGTGTTTTAGATCGTTGATTAGGGAGTACTTCAGAAAGTCGGAACAAGCCTTTTAAATGATAAAATGCAATTTAGCATTGAACGATTTACAAAAATTTACCACTGAGAATTTAATATATATTCAAATTTTTTCATATATTTAAAATATATGTAAAAAACATTATATTAATAATGTAGAGGAGAAGGGAGCAATGGTAATTGGTGATGGAGGATATAAAGCTTACAGCAAGTAGAATAAAAACTAACTAATTTTAGATCCACAGTTAATAGAAAAGATCTATGAATAAGTTAATGTCTACTCTATATGGCTCCAAGCACACAGTATTGCTTTTTAAAGACTTTGATTAAAGTTACACTAGACGAATTTTATATTAAAGTTAATTCGTGTATAAAAAAAATAATAATAGAACAATTTTTTCCTGTTTGATTTAATATAGTGTTTATCAAATTCAAATGTACTGCTTTGTAAAAAAAACCAATTAAAAAAATAAAACTGATATTGTTCAAAACACTATTTTTATTTTAAAAGCTTTTTTGGAAAGTGCTAGTGATGTGCTAATGTCAAGAATCGACAATTGAAAAATCTTGCTCTAGTATATTTAGGCACGATGGTTCTAGTACAGTGAATTATTTTTCTTGGTAGATTACTTTTATTTTGACACCATACCAGTAGTAATTAGTATGGCAAAGAATAAGTATATCAGTGTGTGTGGGCACACTTTACTATCTTAGCATGATTAATGTATAAATTCTTTCCTCATTCTCTTACTCACAAACTTAAAAATTAACTAAAAAAATTAATAAGTTTATTCTAATGTTTGAGCTTGAGACATAAATGGAGATATGAATGATGTTTAAGAAGATTCGTTGTTTACAAAAAAACTATTAATAATTTTTTAAAACAAATTATAAAAACTAACACACCAAAAGTTTATCCTCAAAAAGTAATGAAGTTAAGTCGAGTGCCCGCCCAGGTAGTATGTGAAATAGTTGGACTTTTATTCGAATTTCTTTAACTTTTGAGTGTCTTTAAAAATGTTCCTCAGCCAAACAAATATAAAAATAATTATATTTGTTTACTATATTTACAAAAGTTAATAATAAATAAGTAAATAATTAAAAATAGCATTATAGGTACTTCTCCATCAATTTACTAAAGTAAATTAGAAATTTTTTAGGAAAAAACTAGTATCTAAATGTAAAATCAAAAATTTTAGTATTTGTATTTTATTTGAAAACGTATATAAAAAAATTGTAAGGATAATGAGTTCATAAAATGAAGTTTGAAAAGTTGTTGCTAACGAAAACATTAGCAAAAAATTGTAAGAGTAGGAGGAGGTTGCGAGAGAGAGAGAGAGAGAGAGTCGCTGTGCATAATGTTAACATAACAGCGCAGAAGAGAGTCAAGTTACACACACACCGTAAAAGGGCTATGTTTGCAGAAAAATGGACAGATAGTGAGCACATGTACCGACTGATGTGCAGGATTCAATTACTTTGCAGAAGAGGGAGAACTGTAAAGTCTGCACAAAGCAACCACTGGTAAGGTATTTAAGGCATAACTTGTAAAGCAGAACGCTTAAAAATGGGTGTATTCTAACAACGACGGCGACGTTTAATGTTCATTTTTTCCTGATTTGGAGAACAAAAGGACGCATAGACAGACGAAAAGCTCTCAAAACATGTGCAACATTTGAAGCGGTATGTGGCATGTGGTATGTGGACTAAACCATACAAATTCTAAGAATTTACGTACACACAAACATGATTTTATAGAATTCAATACATTAGTTTTAATATCAGTTATTGAACTTTTTATGTAAGCGCCGCATCTATTTATTCACATCTGATTATAAAAACTATTTGTAATGCATTCTGATATAGCGTTTTATCTCGTTATGCAAAAGCGGACTTTACCCATAAAACGTTCTTGTTTGGTTAGTTTTTTCTTTAATTTCTCAATAACATTTAGAATGTACACACACAAAAGACAAAGTGGCAATATATGACGCAGGTAGCAACAAAGACCACCAACCAACAGAAGCAAAAACAACTTATTATAGACGCAGTGTCGATGAAACATATACCCAGGTCAAGGGCGTTCTGTCATTGACAACTCTTAGTATGTACTTGTCATTGTTGAAACGTGTGCGACGAAACAAATGCGATATGAACATGTGATTCGATTGAAAGACTACTGCAATTGCAAGCAATCGTATATTTTAATTATTATAATATCTAATAGAAATGATAAATATTTTACATACGAATATGCAAATAATATAGATAAATTAATTCTACACATTAACACAGTTGTAAACAAAAAAAGTATCTACGACGTCTAATACAGAGAACTAAGAACTAATTATAAGATGAGCTTTTTTTTTATCTAATTGACATTATTCTTTTTATAGTACAAAAATAACTTTTCAACAAATCTCAAAATAGTTTAAGAAATATTTAAAGCAAATTTGTATTTACTTCTGATTATGAATGAATGGATGAGACTTTCAAAACTCTATAAACAAATTCTTATTTGGATTGCACTTTGATTCTTCATTAATTACATTTATTATATTGTTACGTACCTCATTTATATGCTTGTAGGTCTTGATTAAATCCACGCTTAGTTTTCGAAGCGGCGCTGTTGCTGGATCACGAAAATGTGTTGGGATTCGTGCCTGCATAGCTCGCACTTCAGACGACGACGTTGGACTAGATCGCTATAAATCAACACATTTTTAAATAATTAAAAATTTTATAAAACTTTCAACAATAGAATAAGTGGTAAAGTACTCACGTGATGCATTACATCTCGATGTGTTGCGGGAAGTTCCTCCTCGACCACAAAGCGTCCATAAAGCGGGGCATGCCTCTGGCGACCAGACTCAACCCCCGAAGCCGCACTGGATACATAAGCTGCAGACACTTAAATAAATAAAATAATAAACGTATATTATTAGTCAATATTTTTTATGTTTAATTAAATAAAATATATAATTTATTGGATAACAATAAAAGAAAATAATTTAAAAGTAACTTCTGCATTTTTTTTTAAAGTTCATCATATTAAAATAAAAATTGCAATAAATATATATAATAGGTTTGTAATATCTTTTTTAAATTGAGATAAATGAAAAATGTAATTTAAAACTTCAAAGAATATATTTTAATTAATTTGTACTGACTGCATTTTAATAATTAAATAGGTAGTAAATTTATTATAATGGTCAGATTGGAGAGGCATAATTTAATTCTATAGTATATGATAAACAAATGTTCTGATCGTTCGTTTTCAAGAAAACATAGAAGTTGATTAGAATTTACATCAACCAATAAGAATTATTGGTTATATCGTTCTGTCAAATTTCTTTCTATATGAACAACTCAAGAAATCAATTTGTAGAATTTTGGCAGCCGAGCAGAGATAATAAAAAAATCGAACGCATCTATATATACATTTTCAATGTTAAAAACAGTCTTAATGTTGAATTATATTTTTTAATTCATATCACTTATGAAATAAATTCCTCATTTTACTCATGTATGTAGAGAGTGCTGAACTTACTTCAAATGTAAACATTCAATTAATCTAAAGTCATAGTGCCAGCTTGCAGCACCAAAAAGTAATGAATAATTATCATAAAATTTCTGAAGAAAATCTATAAATTTAAAATTTAAGAACAGTTTCGACAAATTTTGGGTACTCAAAAGTGTAAACATAGACAAATTCTAGTTAATTTAAATTATATCAAGTGATATCAAATGAAATATATATTGCTTTTGCTAAAAATCACTAGTGAGGTTGTAGAAGAACAAAAATTACTGAAGGTGCAAAATATCATTATAAGAACGTGTGTATTAGTCCGAAGATGGTTAAAAGAAATAGTTAAACCAAACTGTAAATGGAGCAATATTCACTTTTATGCAAATGATATATAGATGTATCTCTCAGTGATCAACACGTCCTAGTTAGAAAAAAAAACCTGAATATATTTAAAAGTCATCAAAAATCTTAAAAATCTGGGTACACTAAATGAACTCATAAAAGCAAGAAACAACTCATAAGTCAACTAAGAACACTAGAAACTAAAAATACATAGATAAAAACAAATTTTAAAAGCATTTTTTAAAAATCTTTTAGAGTAAAAAATTATATATATATATAGTATGTAAGAATATAGTATGTAACCTTTTAAGCTGCATCAATTGGAATACGTGAAATACCCAACTCAAAAATATAAATCTATATAAACCGACTATTAAGAAAAAAAAAAAATTTCCCGGAAGTCTATATAGACTATTAAGATAGAGAAATATTAGTAATCAAAAAATAATAAACAAAGGAATATATGTAAACCCTTGCACAGGCGGTTTAGAAATTAATGATGGTAGACTCAACAATAGTAAGATTTATTTTTCATAATAAAAATCCAACCAATCATAGTAGTAATAACAATTAAATTCACAGTACTTATGTGAAAAATAGTATACACCTGTAAAACTTTGTAAAACTTTGTTAGTTACCACAAAACTTAGGAGTCTCGTCAATAATATTTGCATTTCCTGTATTTTCTCTTTGGTAACATGGTTTCGATAGTATTAATGATTATTGTTAAAAAGATATGTCAAATAGCGTCTAAAATAAGAGAAACAGAGTCCTTATTAACAAAGTCCTTATTCAAAGAACTCGACATTGGAAATGTTAAACAGTAGGATCAATCTTTTGTATGTTAGGGAAAAGAAAACATGAACTAAGCACTTTTTTAGGTAGACCCACTCTATATTCTATCAAATGCTATATTTTGATACATAGAATCTACACATGTGTCAGACTTGTTGGAATTACTAAAATTAATTTTAAACAAAAATTTGGCTACTATATTGTTTCTTAAGTCTTTCTAAAAACAGGAAGAAGACACCTCCACCTACCTACACCATATTCCTATGAAATGGAAAGAATTTAACATTATCTTAAATTTAAACTAAGATCTCCAAGCAGCTCCACATATATGTACATATGAACCGATTAGAAAAAGTAAGAACGAACAAACAATTATAGTTTCCTACGATAGTAACCTCTAATACAAGAATACGTTTATTAATTGCAGCACCTCTCCTTAAGAGGGCTTGATTATAGATATGTAGTGGTTTTTAACCATTTCAGAGTTTATCCGATAAGCCTATTGACCAACAGGTTTAAGTAAATCCTTAGAATAACCTATTAAATTGCTAAAGTTTTAAGACAAAAATATAATAGAGATTATCTACGCCTTTTATAATATTATTTCGAATACGTTTTATATGTAGCATTCGTACAGAGAATGTACAGACAAACTTTTTAGTAGGATGGATTTTTTAAAAGTATACGATCGTCTGTTACTTAAAAGTTTCGTTGTATAGAGTTTTCGTTAAAGCGAGACTCTGCTATGTATAAAAGAGATTTGAGAATATATATGTATATTCAAAGTAGAACAAAATAGAAGAAAAAATTGCTCCTATAATTACGTCTTCTATAATAATAAATTTATTATAAATTAAATAAATTTATTATAGAACACTGACAAAAAAATATTTTAAATAGTTTGAACTACATACTTAGACTCCATTTTCATTTATAATATATCTACGAATTAAAATAGTTTTTGTGCGGATTTCGATACTACAATCAGGAACGGATGAGGTTATTATAAAATGATGATCAATTAGACTTATTCAATTATCGATAAAATAATAATATAAAAGACGGAAAAAGTAATTCATATTTAATTATTGCAAGAAAAACAAGTTGTAAAATTTTACTTATAAAAATTAATAAATTTTTTTTCATATTAAAAATTTTAATAGACGTGCATTGTTCGATGCAGGAACTTACAATACAGCACCTGTCAACCATAATACATTTGCGTATACAATATGATACAGAAATTTTATGAAGAAACCATAGATTTTATCGAATTCTATACAAAAAGTCTTGCTGTTGTGCCAAAAGTTGTGATTTACATAGCAGAAAAAAGCAGAAGACCAAATTACTTAACTTTTAGAAATATTACACAATTTTCGTTTTCGATATATTCAGTTTAGTGGGGAGAGATTTTAAGATTATATTTAAATTAAAATACACTAAATCGAAACAAAAGTAAATTAAATTGAGGCACAAAATATTTGCTTTTATAGTTTTATCTAAAGTTAAAATATTTTATTTTAAATATTCCCCAGTACACAAATGCTATAACCCTTAATGTCACAAATATCTTAATCATCAGAAATAGTTATTTTTAAACATAATACTTCGATGTAAAAGATTATTTTTCTATATAAAAAGTACAAGCGATAGATGTATACTTTCAGATTTTTATTTTAAGTCGGAATATAAATAATCTTACCAAAAACTAAGTATAAATTGTATAGCTTATCAAAATTAAACAAAACCATTAATGTTATATTAATTACGAACTAAATTTCAACGGAAGAGATAAACTAAAAATATAACAAATATTCATGGACACGCTTAAAAAGTAAAAGTCTGAAACATATATTATAATTAGTTTAAATATAAATTTGTATATTATCAACAAAGATATGTGCATTGAAAACGTCAGATCTTTGCTCTTTAGTCAATGTTTTTTTTTTAGAATGATAAAGCGAAGTGCGGCTTAATGAAAGTGGTTAGTAACTAAACTAAAGTTGACGATATATAATTACAACAGAATTAAACTTTCTTGATATTGACCGTAGACATCCAAAAACATAATGGAGTTTAACCTCCTAGGTTACTTCAACAAACCATAGTTGAGCGTAAAAGAATTATTGAAACCAAACTAAGGTCTAGAGAAAATATATTTGTTTAGCAGAACAAAATTTTGGCAATACATCTATTGTATATTGTAAGAAATACGATTGCCATTTTTTAATGGTTTAAGTAGTTGATAATTTTTTAAGAAAAATAATATCTATCTTTGAATCAAAAATAAAATCTATTTTCTATTCTTTGTCTTCATTAGGAAGATCTGTCTCGTAACAAAAGTATATCACTAATTAAATACACATCGCTACACAGGATAAGACTACTATTTCAGGGCATGACAGAAATAGATTGTATAAATTTTTATTTTGTATATTTCATTGATACTGAGGAAGCCAAATGCTTCATGCACAAAATATCTAATGTCTTAGCAGCAGTACTTTCCGATTAATAAATATATATTTTTTATTATAAATACTCTATGCAGTTTTATGTACGTTATACTATACCTAATATGTTATTTAATGATATGGCATGGTAAAGCAAATATAACAAATTTTTAAGTAAGTATATATGCACAATTCCATTTGGATTTACATCTATTAATCTATTTCAAAGTTATGGAAAAATTGTACCGAAATATATTTATATTCAAATAGGTTTACATTAAAGAACTAAAATGATTTGGTTTTTCTGGTTTTTAATTTTTTGTTTAAAAAGTTTATGTTTTTATGAAATAATTTGAGTATAATTGTGTTCAGTGAGCTACTGAAAAGTATTTAAAATAGCACAAATATTTTTATGTACATACGTACGCAATGCTTTTTAATTTTCAAATTAAAGTATCAAATACGTGCCTGTATCGTTAAAGAAAATCGATATTTAACTGAGTTCAAATTTGATAAAAGTTAAGGAGAGAGTTAGTTAAGGAGAGAGTCTCATGGCTTACAGTACTATTACAAATTAATATATAGAAAAAAATGCAGATACATTTAGTAACCTACAATTCCTCATCAATTGGTGACCATCAAAATCAGCTGCTCTAACATCACTATTTTTGTTATGACTGCTGCTATCACCAACGCAAATATCAACATTTACACCTTCACACCTTGGGCCATCCATTTCCCAATCATTATTCAGTTTCATGTTGGAGGTGATTGATTGCCAATAACACAAAGCGGCGGTTGACATCTTTTCAATATTAAATAACAATTACAAATTTATGTTTAAAAGCTTGTAGGAGGAGGAGAGACTAATTTCTAAAACTGCACTGCACCGTCGACCGTCAATAATTTTTACAATTTTTAAAATTTTTTATGCTGAATTTTTATTTTATTTAAATTTTTCTTTTTTTTATGTATTATTTATTAACGTCAGCAAATACGTTAATTAGGTTAAAAATTAACTTAATTTGAATTATTTTATTCTTTTTTTTTAATTTGTGCATATAAGAAAATATTTATAATTTTGGTATATTATTGTTTTTCTTAATATATATATTTATGTTTTTTTTTTTGCACTCAAAATATGTTTTTAAAAACAATAAAAAACAAGAGGAAAAAGAAAAAATCTTATTTTAAACAAAATTCCGTTCTACTGAATTGACCAAAATTTCACTCCACACTGTTACATTTTTGGCATTTGAAAGGATTTGTAGCTGTCGCAGCGTAAAGAAAATATATTTTATTTATACTTTTCGTTTTCGTTTTGCTCTTTTTTTGCAAAAAAGATAAATGAACATTTCAAAATAACAAAATTTGTTTTTATTTCATTAATCGTGGGCACAATATTTAAATAAAAAATTTATCCGCACTTTTCTACAAAACGAGATACTTATAGACAAACTTAAACTCTACACTTTCAGCAGAATTTATGTTCTCCTCCTTCTTCGACTAAAGTAGATATTTTTTAACAACTAACTGTAGCCGATTCTGCAAACTGGTTCTGAGTTCTTTTTGTACTGAAATTTTTAATAAAAGATGGGAAGACTCAACGATATGCATGCATCTGTATACAATCTGGCCACGTTCCGGGATACATACGGGATACCCCGTAGAGACATTGGACCTTTGGTATGCTTATTTACAGGTCACAGTAAACTAGGGAATCATGCTAGAAGATTATGCCTCCCTTTCAATCAAATCTGTCGCAGCTGTGCGGAAGACGATGAGAGTGCCTCTCTTCTACTATGTTTTTGCCCAGCTCATGCACGGCGGCGACTCAACACTTTAGAAGCCCCCATTCTTGAGAATCTTGATCAATGAAAAGACCTGACACTAAATAGCATTTTAGGCTTCGCCAAAGGTTCTAGGTGGTTTTAAACCCTAGGTTTTTCCTATATATACAGTAACACAATGGGTGATTAGGTCTAAGTGGATCCACAAGAGATCGCCGGTATAACCTAACCAAACCTAACTGTAATCGAGCATAAGACATGTAACATTTAAAATAAAAGCCAGAATGTCTCTCATCAGCTTTCATCTTCCAGTATTTTCCTCCTGCTTCAAATGAAAATAAAACAATCATAAAGAATATAGCAAAGAGTTACTTTTTTTAAGAGGACACAATAATCTGACATCTTAGACACATACAGTAAGAGTTACAAAAATTACATTTAGACGCACTTATAAGTTTACAAACATTTTATTAAAAACTCCTAAGAATATAATTTAAATTTATAGCTTAGATTGAATTGGTTAGCACTGAAGGCTATGCATAGACGTCTGAGTTCTTAGAGACACGGTAATATTTAAATAAACAAAGTTGACAAAATGACTTTAACTATTTTTGGTATAAATTTCTAAAAAAAAATTAAGAAATAGTTATTCAAAATTAAATTGACAATTAAATTGAAAACAATTTGCACATGAAGTTTATTTGGACACAATTATGCCCATTTTGTCCAGAAGGCCTGGAGCATTATTTTCTAGGAAAAACCCTAACAGATTCCATCGCCAGATATTGTTCATAGATTGACATTGCTTAACAAAATGTATTAGAACCCCAATTTCTACTGCAGAACAACCAAGAGAGAGAGAGAGAGATTTTATATGAAGAAGGTTCAAAAATTCAGAATCCATTCACTCTAACTCGATATGGCTAACTTTTGATTTTTGAAGAATGGATGCATTTTCTTCAGCGCATTTCTTCCATACTGGCGTATTTTTTAGTCGTATTGGAGAACATCCATCAGCGGTCACAACTGCCCATACCATTACTTGAGATGGAAAATTAATTCGGAGGTCAGGTTTCGATTTAACAAGAGACATGTCCGAGGTGTATAGGATTTCAGGAACAATAGTTTATATAAATATATCTATAGTCCCTTTAATAAAGAAACAATTCTTCATATTTAAGTAAATCTGCACAAAGAATTGCAACTACAATCATGGCAATATCGTTAAGGATGCTATTTGGAGCGTGACACAAAATATAACTTATAAACTAAACTATTTTAATACATAATCGTGTTTAATAGCTTAATACCGATTAGAGAGTATCTGCATTTATTATAAAAACAGTTTTATTTCGTTTTGCGTTTTTATAAAAGAAGGGGGCATAAACATTTTATCTGCGGCGTGTGGCGTTTCTTGAAGCGCATGCGCGGATAAATTAAGAAGAGCATAAAATTATTTTTTTATTTTTAAAATCATTAAGAAGAACACATCAATCGCATCAAATCTTTTATAATAGAAAACCAGATAAAATAAAACTGAAAAGACAGCAGTCAGCTAGTGTTTGCTTTTATTCGTAATCAAATTCAAAAAATGTATTTATAACAAATAAATATTATATATTTTCATATTACAATATTAATTTAGTTTTCATTTAATGTAGCGTACTGTTTGCATATGCTACTAACTAATTTTAAGTGTATAGTCTACAGTTAAACTGTTTGACAACGTAAATTGATGAATTTACCTAAAATCGAATTATAGTAAAAGTAAATTGTAACGCTTCTGTTAATGGTAGATCGAAAAGTACTATGATTTTTATTTTATCTAGAGCGACCGGAAAACGAACTTACAGCAAATCGCTTCCAAAATACACAACAGTGAAAATTACATTAGTTACCTCATAGCGTCTCTAGAGCATCTCTATAACGACATATCACGAAGAACACGCTGATTGAAACCAAGCTATTTGAATAAGTTATAACAAACCGTAAGAAATCATGGGTCCAGACATGATTGTTCTGATGCCATTAATCATTAGTCACTAATTATTATGTGACAATACATATTAAATGAATTTATATAGCAAGTAAAGTGACATTTTTTAACTGCAGTTGCAGAAAAATCTGATTTCTTCTGATCAAAATCTAACTGAAGTTATAACAATCAACTTAACACCTGACCAAGAAAACCCTCAAAGAAAATAGTAAATTTTTCTTCTTCTGATTTAAAATTATTGCTAACAGATTATCACGAATAATCAAAATTTTCAAGACTGAATATTTTGGTAACACTTTGAAATGAATATACATTAAAATAGGCGACCACACCTCTCTATGTAAATTTATAGTTAAATTTGGTTATGGTTATTTATGGTTAATAAATTTAAAGTAAATATATATGCAATAAGTTCTTTATATAACTAAATTTTCACTGGAGCACGGAAGGACAGCACTAGTCTTCCAGAAATAAATACATAAATACATATTACTTAAATTCTACACTTTCAGCTGAGTAGAGTTCTCCTCGTTCTTCGACTAAAGTAGATATTTTTTAACAATTAACTGTAGCCAATTATGCAAACTGGTTCTGAGTTCTTTTTGTACTGAAATTTTTAATAAAAGGTGGGAAGACTCAACGATATGTATGCATCTGTATACAATTTGGCCACGTTACAATAAAAGCAAATCCAAAATTCTCATTGGGATACTATGTAGAGATATTGGACTTTGTACAGTGACCTGTAAACTAAGGAATCATGTTAGAAAATAGAAATGAATCGGGTAGAAAATAGAAACGATTTAAAACACTATAGCAATTTTAATATTAAACATTATTTGAAGTAGTTGATTTGAGACGAAATTTTTTATATTCCAGTCAAAAGTTGCATAAAAAATTACACTACTCTGACTCATTTTAAAAGTATGTAATTAAATAAAATAAAATAAAATAATAATAATAAAATTATGCAAACATTTAAACACGAATAAGTGACTGAAATACGGTTTGTCGCAACTTAAATTTAAACAACAACAAATATAGATTTCAGCTAATGGCAAAAATTACTACGGCATGTGATTATAAATTACGATTTGATTGCAAATATGTTATCTTTATCAGCGTTTGGTCCAATTTCTATTCGAACACATAGCAACATAAATAATCACAAAATTATATGTGTAATATTTTTCTATTTTCACAAGACAAGTTAATTAATTATTAAGACTTTCTTTTTATGTACCCAAAAAAAACTCTCAACTGCTGTTACCAGAAAAGCAAATTATTTAATAATATCCATCATGACTCGTACTCACTTTATTTTAATTCGTATTCCTAAATAACTAAAAATATATGTCTAAGATATTTAGCTGGGAAAATGTGTATTGTATATAGTGTATCTATTTTGTTTCTTAATTCGAATGACTAAATATCCATAATTCATTCTTTAAAATATAATTAAATGAGTGCTGCATGTGACTCGCGTGAATCAATTTTATACAAACTTTTTTATTTATAAACTTTTTATTTATTTTTTTTATATTTCGGAATTCGTCACTAGTGCCAGGTGGTTCTCACAAACAAATATTGCTTAAAAAAGCGCTGAAGGAAGGAAGGTGGTACTTCACTTCATAGAAATTTCGTTTAATACCTGATGAAATTTATAAATGAAGCTACTTAATGCGTTTAATTCGGGTTCATTGATCTGTAATCTTAACATTATGAACACACATCAAATATATATACATATATTTATATATATTTTAGCACTACTGTATCCTAATATAGCTCAAAAATTCGCTTAATCACACAGAGTGAAAAAATAGATAAAAGGATTGATTTTTTCATTTTGTGTAATTCGTCACAGGTAAATTTATAGACAACCTGACAACGTGTGACACATACAAATAAAATAAATATACTGACTGACGTTTGATGCGATACAAATTCATCTGATAATATAGACATTCACATATATTTATTTGTTTTTTGATTTTGTATCAATCTAAAAATATAAAATTGGCAAAATATTTGAGTATAAAAGGAAATTTAATTTGAAAGGTTTAACGACCATGCGAAATTTTTTCAAGCATCATATTGAAGTGATTTACGTCAAGAGT